CCATAGGTCATAATTAACAAGTAGTATAGAAAAAAAACCATGTATTTCGGTCATTACTATGGTTACTTCTCACAAGTTTTTTTTTATTTAACTGAAAATACATAAAAACATTTATTTTTACGTTTTACACTACCTGTTCAGTCTGCGGTAATGATAATAACACAAATATAGTATGAGAATGGGGATTTTTGGAAATTGTAGTAATTTCAATAGTTGAATTCATGAATCGATTTAAGCTGAACCACCGCTGAAGACTTTGGGACACTAGACAGTTGTTTCGTCATAGTGTGGGCCTCCTCGGCAGTGCGTACTCACGATCCCGTAGGTCGGAATCAAACCCAGAACCTTCGATCACGCGCGAAAGCTCAACCTTGAGTAGACATCCAATGATGTTAATGTCTAACTTCAATCTATACATGATCTTGCTCAACCCTTCATCCATTTTCTGAAGTGGCTAACTGTCTCCACAAACTTATATATATATATATTTCAAAAAATGAACAATATTTGAGCGAACAATTGTTTTCAATAACTTCATCATCAGGCTCTACAGTTATAAGTCCATAATTATAATATTTTACAAAGTCCAAAATGAGGCATGTATTAATGAATTTGACAATGTTATATGTTAAAAATGGTAAACGTTTGCATCTGTTACGACATATATATACTTTAAAATTGTGTTATTTGTAAATTAGAAAGGTCATTTAATAATAAAGGTCAAAGTGATTTGTAATCAAGTGTCTAGTCACAATCGATTTAATAGTAATTTCGAAAAAATGAAAATGCCAAAAGAAATTGTGTGAATAAAGTGCATAGTAGGAGAATTTCATCTTGTCAATTGAGATAATAATGATAAATAGTAATAGTAATAATAATAAGATTGTTGTGTGAATATAATATGTAATAAAAGGGGATGTTATCACGATAATTACGATAAAGGAATTGGGAATGATGGATGTGAAGATTAAGATAAAGGTGATCAACAAAGAAAAAAAAAAAATTATCGTGATAACATCCCCTTTTATTACATATTATATTCACACAACAATCTTATTATTATTACTATTACTATTTATCATTATTATCTCAATTGACAAGATGAAATTCTCCTACTATGCACTTTATTCACACAATTTCTTTTGGCATTTTCATTTTTTCGAAATTACTATTAAATCGATTGTGACTAGACACTTGATTACAAATCACTTTGACCTTTATTATTAAATGACCTTTCTAATTTACAAATAACACAATTTTAAAGTATATATATGTCGTAACAGATGCAAACGTTTACCATTTTTAACATATAACATTGTCAAATTCATTAATACATGCCTCATTTTGGACTTTGTAAAATATTATAATTATGGACTTATAACTGTAGAGCCTGATGATGAAGTTATTGAAAACAATTGTTCGCTCAAATATTGTTCATTTTTTGAATATATATATTTATTTATTAGAAAAGTCAGTTTTTCTCTCGAATATTTATAAAGTATGAATTGATGAAGTATATTTATCACTCAGGAAGAGGATTTCTGAGGTGTTTATTCATGAGATTTTCATTGTCTTTCTAGACAACATCACCATCAGATATTTCAAAGAGAATCGGGTTGTTAAAATATTTTCACAAGTAACTAAGAATAAACCCAAACAAAGTCAACAACTATGAACAGCAAACTATCAAATTCTAGGTTGTCATTCCAGTTAGTGAACCAGTTCTAAGGGGATTTTAATGGCTCATTTCTCGCTGAAGTATACCCGGATTTTATTACTATCTAGAAAGACAACAAAAGCTATATGACTAAACCATTCAGCTTAGAGAATTCGATATCTCCAAAAATAGTACAGGAGATCTAACTCTCAACTCCAAAAGATATAGACTTGGACCTATGTTATGTCATACATATGCACTTTTGATAAGCACCAAATTTAGACACAACAGCCACTAACAGAGCACTCCTCATTCCGATTTTTTGCAAGCAGTTTCTATAACTGACATCAGTTTATGACAAAAACTACTTTCAAAGTATTCAATTCAATTTTCTTTAAGAATTAATACATCAAATACCACAGAATTGTTTATCTAAACCAGTATTTTCCATGACTATCACTCAAGAATAATTTGAAAGGGCTTGAGGTTTCATGTTGATTATGTTTATGGTTAATCAGTGAATAAAGGCTTTGATATCTGAAGTACTGAATAGTATGTTCTAGTGTCCTAGGACATGTTTGTATTCAAATGTAGAGTTCTGAAATATTATGAAATGTGAATCAATGAAGTTTAGTACTAGCTACTGTCCACAGAAGTGAATCAGAATAACTTGTGGTCAGTTATAGTTGAAGTTATGTTTTAAATTCTTGGAAAGATTTGTGTTAAAGCTACATAGTTTAGTGAATTTGATGTAGCTTTAAATAAATTTTATAGTGGTAAGGCATAAGATAATATAGGAATATCGCTGTAGGATGTTGTGCATATTCTTGAATTTGAAATTTCATATAATAGATTGAATTTGGTAGGACAATCAATGATTACTATGAAGCATTGAACATCTGTTTCGTCCAAGTATGTTACTCTTCACCAGTGTACACCCACCCCAGTCACTAGGTGTGGAAACCTAGACTTACAAATATCACTAAAACGCTTCATCTGCAGACTACCCAATTGATGCTTAATAGCTTCGTTGTCTAAACTCAGTTAGTTCATGCGTTAAGGAGTCCCATACTAGAATGAACCATCTGTTTGAACTTTCCAAGGAGGTTTTGTACTTATTTTAAACTATAATCTTATTTTGTAATTTTATTCTCAAACCACAAAATACTTTAAATTGATGTATTAGATACAAATTGCAAACTGTCAATATTTTATCCTTGAACAGTTCTATAATTTCATTGAAATCATTAGTTAACCAGTCTTAGATCACCATTGAAAACCAGAAAATACTGGTCGACCGATTTGTCCCAAAATGGGACTCCTCAACCGTATGCATCAACACTTGAATTTCCGACTACTGAGCCAATATCCAACAATCTCACTATCTAAGCAAAGATGGATAGTGGCTAGCAGTGGAATCCAGGAAGCGCGGTACTTCGTCCTATTTGGGACTCGTCAGCTGGATACACCTGCATCTGAGTTGATGTTCGCTCTGTGACTCAAACCCAGTACCTTTCGCTTCAAACGCCATCGAGTTATCCACTCAGCTACTGAGTCCTGATAGCCACATACTTGTGCAATGGGGTGAAATTTAAATTCACTTAATATCTAACCTCAATCAAACCACGATATCGCGCCGCCATCTTTCATCTCCTTCGATATGTAACTGCCTCACATCAAATACGGTTCAATTCCACTGCTCACAGCTTCTCATTAGAAATCTGAGAATCACCTCTCGATGCTAGTCACTAGTAAGTACATGATAATTGTATGTATAAGGAGATGGTAGCATAACATCGTGAATTGACTGAGATTATGGATTAACTCTGTTAGATATCGGATTAATGTTCTAAGGGTTGGAAGTTCGTGTGCAACCTAAGATCCTGAAACCGAGTCTCTCATACAGGAGTCGCTTCCAAGTCTGATGAGTAGTCTAACATTGATTATTTCATGATCTCAATAAAAATTCAATCGTCTCCTCTACCTTATACTCAATGTAGTATAAATGTAAACTAAACTTATATTGATTTTCATTTATAAAAGACAATTAAAATCAATGATTTTGGTGACTAAGATAGTCTCAGTTAAAAAGAAATTTTGCTTATCTTCAGTCAGCAAAAATGTATAATTGGTCAATACACAAATAAAGGAATGAATGAATGAGTAAGTGAAGTCTGTTGATTAAATGAAAAACTCACGCCCATTATTGTTTTACAATTATGAGTAGTAGGTTTCAAAATGAAATAAAAACCTTTATATCTATGAATATACTTTATATACATTCTTTTATCCTTTTTAATTACCTAAAGTTTGTGCTGCTGATGATGTCGTTCAGAAGGACGATGGAAGCTCCACAACCAAACCATTCAGCTTAGAGAACAAAACTTCATCAAAATCATCCACCTGAGTTATAAATCTTCTCCACTATCTCATAATATAATTTGTCTGAATTGATGAAGAACAGTCGTAACTCAGTTGGATATTATTGGCGGTGTTGTATTCTCTAAATTACAGATGGTTTAATTGTCGAGATTTTATTGTCATTCTAGATGATATCCGTACCACCCATATTTAGTAAAATGAAAATGTTCAATGGAAGTTTCAAAATCAAACCACCTCTAACTCAAAGAATAAAATACCAAATACAAATTGTCTGTCTTAATGTCTTCAGTCTTTAATATGCTCTTTGTCTCCATTACTTTCGATCAATTTAACATTCATTCAGTTTATGAGATGTAAATTAGAGTACTTTTTGATTAGAAGTTTCATTTGAAGTTCTGAATTTCACTATCTCTGTGTTTTCACATAACATATCAGGGTACATTACACTAGGGATATTTATAGTAGACAGTTGTAGATGTTCAAAATAAAATCTAGACTGAGAATTACATACAACGTGGAACCGGTCAAACATTTGTATCAGTTCAAACTACTGCACAATACCAATAGAACGAGAAAAAATTGTCAGGAGAAAGACCAGAGTAACAACATTTTGCATTGGTAGATAAAAACAAATATGTACAGACAATGAGTATTCCACAAGATAACGAAAGTATAAGCATTACAAAAACAAATATTGAATGTATCTGCATCATCACAACTGGTTTTGAGCTAGTTCACTTAGTCTTCAATCATGAGTTACAACCATCACACAGACCCCATTTAGGCAATCTACGTCTCTCTACACTGACTGATGGGTTATGATTCGAGTCTTAGGACTAGTAATTTAAAGTTCAGGTATAACTACCTTGAAAGTTGTTTAGTGTACATCGTATGATGTACACTAAACAATACATTATGATACTTTATAATGAAATATACACATATATATATTCAAACTTACTGTTATAGTTTCCAACATCGTATATGATAATTACAGTGTTCAACAATGATTTTATTCAATGATTCCAGTTAAAAGTGATATGATTGTTTTTAATATAAAATTCTAAAAGAAAGAATAGGAAAATAGAACAATATTTAATGTTTATAAACTGATTATAAGTTGGAAAAGGAAAAAAAACTAAAATTATGTATAGTTGAAATCATGAGTTAATTGAAGCTAGACCATCATGGAAAACCTGGAAGCATTGGACGGCCGTTTCCTTCTATTGTGGGACACCTCAGTGGCAGTGCGCATCCACAATCCCTACTCGCGAGATTCGAATTCTGGACCTATCAGCCTCGCGCGCAAGACTATAAAATTACTAAAAATCTTCACAGAACCCCCTTCTAAAAAAATAAAACTCGATAAGGCATCATATTTCACTTTGTTGTATAAACAGAAATCAAGTTTCAATTATAGTAGTGGAAAGTTTTCTTAAATATTCAATAAAACTAACATAACAACTAATTTTAACCTTCCCCTAAGTGATTAATCACTTTTGTACAACTCAAAACAATGGTGCTAGTTTGTATTCATTTCATGACTTGAATATGTTTAATAAATGTTATCTCAATAGCCATCATAACTTGCATTAATTAATGAGGCTAAAACTAGATGGATATCAAATCTTAATAGAAACTATTTAGTATTGATGTTTTCCGTAGACCTATAATAAATTCTATTTACGAACGAATGGTGTAATACAACACAACTAGTAGGAATTCAGATGTATCACACCTTCAGACACTTCAGCGTTGATCATACATACGTTAATAAGAGAAAAAAGATGGGACTTTCAGGATAACCTTATGGTACATAAAAGAACCAAAAGTAAAAAATCGAACAACTCTGTATTTACAGTTACATCAAGTGACCTTGAAATATATAAAGTTGGCAAACAAAAAGCGGTAATAACCAATCAGATAACAAAAAAGATCGTTGCAGAAATATGAATTTGTAAAATGTCATCGTAGTTATACTTTAACCTCAGAAGCAGTAGGTCTCAATATGTACAAAGGGTAACGCAAGATTCTCCAAAACAATACAGCATGCACCAATCGAATCACACTTGACGGAGAAGCATTGGAGGATGTACAAAAGGTTTACATATCTAGCAGCATCATCGATGTAGACGGTGAATCTGATGCAGATGTGAGGATGCGGATTGGAAGAGCAAGAGCAGAATATTTACAACTGAAGAACATCTGAAACTCAAAACAACTTTGTCAGCGAACACCAAGATCAGAATTTTCAATACAAATGCCAAGACAGTTCTACTGTATGGGGCGGAAACTTGGAGAACAAAAAAGGTCACCATCCAGAAGATACAGGTGTTTATCGACAATTGCCTATGCAAAATACTTCGGATCTGTTGGCCAAACACTATCAGCAACAAGTTACTGTGGGAGAGAACAAACCACATTTCATCCAGCAGAGGGAGAAATCAGGAAGAAGTGCTGGAACCTGATAGAACACACATTGAGGAAATCACCCAATTGCATCACAAAACAAGCACTCACATGGAATTCTGAAGTCTAAAGGAGAAGAGTAAGACCAAAGAACATATTACGCCGAGAAATGGAGACAGACTTGGGGAGAATGAACAAAAGTTGAATAGAACTAGAAAGGAAAACCTAGGACAGAATGGGTTGGAGAATGCTGGTCGACGGCCTATGCTCCATTGGGAGTAACAGGCATAAGTAAGTAGGTTATACTTTAAAGAAACGACTAAGATGTAACAATGAATATCTAGATACTTTGTGCTTTCCTTAGAAGAAAAAGTATAGAGGTGGTAAGTTTATGAAATGACTGAATAATATTTATGTTTATATTATATAAAATTGTACAGCGTAAAGAATGAAATTTTTGAAAACCAGTATATCTTCACATCAATAGGCATTCTTCATTTACTGAAAATGGCATTAAATAAATGATATCGATGACAGTAGATAGTCATTATATTTCTTGATTACTGACTGACTTTGATCACCTTGTCTACTTTGGAACTAATTAATGAACAATAAACTTATATCAAGTCACACTAAAATTTTCAAACTTACTTTTAATAACATACATTAAAAATAAATTAAGTAGAATTAAATAGTGGTTAGCAGTAGAATACAGGACGTCCATGGTTTCGTCTTAATTTGGACTCGCCATATGAAGATACCTGAATATCAGCGTTCACATAAGTTTTGGGATTCGAACCCAGTGACTTTTGCGTCAAATGATTGACACATTATTCACTTTGCAAATGGTAATTACAAAGTGGAAATAAATACACTAACTTAGTAAACAATTAGAATAAATATGCACAAGTCGGAAATCAGTAGTAAAATGGCATAAATCATATTGAAGTAAGTTTTGATGCAAGATAATCTGACATAATTTGGACATAAAGCCCCGTTTCACACAGATTTTGTTTTATTAGGCATAAAGAAGTAAGGTATGTATACAATTTTGGAGTAATTTATGCTCCGTATGTAGGATTTGAACCCGATATCACTGTAAGCGATATTAACAATAATCTATTTTTTATTTAGTTAATAGAAGCTGATAAACATTATAAATTGAATAGCATTATATTGGTCAATAGACATTGGTAAATAAATGTAAAGTAGAAATTTTAATACTGAATTTTGTACCCATATGATCTACTGTAGTTTATTTCAAGCATAGTTTATCTCTCTATTCAATTCTAAACCAGTGACTTCGATAGCATTATAAAAGTTGTTTAAAAGTTGTAAATTCCGGTTGCCATAGTACATCAGAACAATAAGATTTATATATCAAGACAAATGACAGTAGTAGATGTAGTAGCGTACTAGCAGTGGTAGAAAAAATTAATGATAAAAGAATAGTCAAGGAATAAAAGTAGATAATTTCTGAACTCAAGATATACGCTAAGATAAAGATTGAATACATCATAAAACATTATTCACAGACCTTATACAAGTAGTTTGTAATCACAAAAATGACTCAAATAGGCAACGCCCCCAAATGCCCTGGTACGGCCGAGAGTGGGGAACAAATGGCGTATGAACTAATTATTGGTCCCCGGCTACCATGGGACTGCATCTCCTCACGATGTTCCACTGCCTTGTGGGTTAGAACTTTAGGTCAAAGGCTCGGGGTGTGGCCCCCTAAGCAAACCACCTGCTTTGGTTTGTGCACGTGGGCAGTATCACAACCCTTACACGAATAAATGAAATGATGACTTGCACTGACAATCCTATTTACTCGCTTACTATATGCCAGACAATTTGCATTATTATTATTATTATTATTATTAACATTTACCATATCGCTTATTCACTCCCCTTTATTCCCAATTTATGCATCCTTACTTTTCAACTTATGCAACAGCTCGCATATGGTGGAAACTCTGTTCTATCTAAACGATCTCTAGTCGCTGTCTGGTCGAAAGTGAATGCTTCCACCGATTATGAGTACTGAACCAATAGTGTGACGCACATGTATCTGGTGCCCTTTTGTACAAGTATGTGTGTGTTTAAATAAATAAATAAATAAACAAATAGGCAACCACTAACTTCTTGAAGCGATGCCTTTCTTTGGATTGACCACTCTTAAATATCTCACAACACCCTAATAAATCAGTAAACATCATATGTTGAAGTAAATGATGATTGATGTCATGTAACAGATTTAAAAATGCTGATATGTAAGTATACGTTTGTGGAATATGCTGAATTTTTTGAAACCATTACCCGATCTAAGTTAGACCACAATTGAGGACTCAGAAGCACTGAACGACCTTTTTGACCCACTATGAGACTCTTTAATAGTGCATATCTATGACCACACAAACGGAAATCGAACCTAGGATCTATGGCAGTCAGTGATACTAGCCATCTGACAAACTCAAATTAGATGACACTAAGATTCGAACCTATGAAATACTAGTCGAAAGAAGAATGCTATAAACATTAAACCAATAGTTATCTTATCAGGTTACATTATGTCAACTCTCAAAATCGAAACTTTGATTTGATATCGAATGGTAGACTATTATTATTATTACCACTATATTACTATACAATGATTGTCTGAGCACATAAAACTGTTCATTTTCCATGATCTAACTACAGCATCCCGTATATACAATAAAAGAAAACTTTTAAGTATTCCGATAGTTTTTTTTTTGTGATCATATTGACAATGATCAATACAAATTCCGACAGAAATGTTTTAATACGCGGTACAACTTACAACAGTTGCCATTGCGTCATAGATAATGATAATTATTAATATTATTATTGTTATTATCACTATTAGTATCCAAGTGTTTGTATTGTATCCAACAGAATATTAGTCAATATATATATATATATATAAAGCCACAAATACTGCAGGGAGGTGTAACGAAATGTTTCGATTTGTTTTTGTAATAACAAACAAAAAACAACAACAACAAACAAAATTCATGTGAAAACAATCTACATGATGCAGCAAATGAGAAATATAAAAAACAAAATACCAGTATGTTAGTGTTACATACCTCAGCTCTATCACTGTTTAGTCATATATATCTATTTGTGTGCAAAGATGGACTCAATAAGTAAAAACTAATAAATACATCAAGTCATAGTAAAAAAAGAGAAATGATGGATGATGATTAACAGTGGGATATAAGACTCATATTTCATTTCATTCAGAACTCTTCATTCCAGCGTTACTGTATCCTAACATGGTTAAATCGAGGCAATTCATTAAAAAAAAAAACTTTCACAATTGATTGATCATTGAGTACTAACCAATGTCATATATTTTCATGGTTGAAATCATGAGTCAATTGAAGCTAGACCATCATGGAAAACCTGGAAGCACTGAATGGCCGTTTCGTCCTATAATGGGACTTTTCAGGTGCAGTGCCCATCCATAATCCCGCTTCATGAGATTCGAACCTAGGACCTACTAGTCTCGCGCCAGATCACTTAACTGATTTCGTGGATTGGTTG